CCGGTTTCTGCTCCCCAGGCCGGAGCTGCGGGCACAGTCCCTGGAACCCGGATACGGTTGGCCGAAGAGGCATCCGCATCCCTTCCCTTTTGCGCCCCGGTGTCCCGCATTCGGGACTGCGGGAGGCCGGCCGGGATGGCGTGCAGCAGCTGCAGTGCTGCTCTCCTGGTCGGTGGCGTTTCACACCCCCGCCGCTACCGGCATCTGTCAGCCTGGCTTGAAGCGATAGCGACATCCCAGAGGAAAAACCAGCCAGAGAACAGGCTCGGACTTTCATTCCCTAGCCCAGGCCTTATTAGGAAGATGGTCTCCCGTAAGAACACCACTCTGCTTGAGCATAATTCCCACTTTTCCAAAACACACGTTTAACCTTTCTTTCTTGTGTAGATATTCTCAGACTGTTTTTTGAAACTAATTTCTTTCTCAGTCACAAGGTGAGCTCCTGAGCATGTATTGGCAATACTGAAGTTGTGTTGTTTGTAATTGCCCTATCAACATTAAACAAACAACAAATAAATTAGCTTTCCCAAACTTTAGGCTTTCAGCAAGCATCCTGTTCTGGGACCTGCAGTCGTCATTCTAGGGCACCCCAGCAGCTATAGCAAAATCATTCCTGAAGCTGTCAGGTCATCTGCACAGAGTAGTCATAGCTCAGAGCAGCTTTGTCAGATAGATAGATGGGTAGATGTACACTGCCCAGGACAGACACTGCACGTCTGTTCCCAAGCCTTCCATTCATCATCCCATATGTATATCAAATTCAGAAATTTAAACGTTGCCACCTCTTGTCCTTTAATTGCACTGTACCAGGATCTGGATGGTCTTAACGTATTTATATGGGGTTTTTTAGTTCAATTCCTGTTCACTGGAATTAAGTTTCCACTGAGAAAACCTGCATAGTTCCTATCTTCTGTGTTAGTGTCACAGAAGCAAATAATTAAGTTCTTTGTTAGTGACAATATTACTCAGCCAGTTTCCTAGGAATTCTATGATGGAGGGTTTCCAGACAACAAGAACTCTGTGTAAACAACTCCTGTCTGCACAGGCAGTTTGCATTTCACTAAGTAATATTATGAACAGACAACAATTTCAAAACCAATCTATTGAGCTATTTAAATAATTATAATAGCACACTGACCTACTGTTCTTTGCAATTGCGAGTTGTGTTCTTAGGTAAGACAAGCTTACCTTTGTTCAGAAAGTGAAAGGGTAGAGAATATAGACAACAACAGTAGTGTACATGACAAAAGAAGTTCTGTGAAGGACTCTGGCAGGGGATTGTTTTGAGATCTTTTAGCTGTTTAACTGGAATTTTTAATTTAAAAAATACTATTTTTTTTTTTTTTTAGCCAGCCTATCAAAATTTGAGACAGAAAGTAGACAACTTTGTATCGACCCACCTGGACAAACAGGAATGGAATCCAACAATGAACAAAAACCAGTTACGAAATGGGCTAAGGCAGAGTGTGATTCAGTAAGTAAGCAACATTCTAAAAATAATGATAATGCTATTTGATAAGTAATACATAACTGTCTTATCTCATCACCTAAGTCAAATAAGAATTTGTAGAATTAAGTTTTGCACAACACTTTCTGTCATGCTCTCCTGAGTTTCATTATAATAGTAGATGCAGTCTTAACTCTCATTAAAGTGCTTACATACTGCTTTACCTGAAATTTGTATTTTCATGAGTTGAGCAGCATGGTGAAGTACTCATATTTGCTATCTAGCCAAGTTACTGCCGCAAATAACCAACACTGTCCCTGCTAGAAAAACTGTGCCTGATGTGCTGCACTGAATAGCCTTGATCTTTATTTTCAGAAAAGAGCCTATGTCACTTAAAAAAATCCTGAAGATGCCAAAGCTTGTTTAAACAGACTCTGACCACTAGCAGGCAGTAATCAAACTGGGCTGGGTGAGCCTGATTTCATGCAGCAGAGAGTAGCTTTTGTACAGCTATTTAAGAGAGTACGTTTCCAGCATGACAGGAAAGCCAGCTTAAACTATGCTGCTTAGAGATGTAGGTTTAGTGTCTCTTGCTGCTAACTCATTGCAGTCTGAAGCACAAGTCTTAGCTTGTTTGACTAAAAGTCGTGGATAAAAACTTTATAGTAGAAGTTGTGGGGAGAGGGGCAGTAGGGAACTTGATAATGCCATTTATGTTTATAAGGAAAGCTATTACAAGTCTTGCACACAGAAGAAACTGTATTTCAGAGCACTTGATAGAACCTGTAAATCATTAGTATGTAACATTAGTTTGTTTAATTTGTAATTAGAGAAGGGGGTGTCCACTGGAAGACAGTGTTTCTTGTCTTGGAGTCCTCAAGACATGTTTGTCAATGCTTCCTCTTATTTCACGTTACCACTAGAATGAAGCAGACAATTGAAAATTGTTGTATCAGAGGACCTGTAGTGACAAGAATGTAAAGCGCTCCCTTTAAGCAGGCTATTAGTATAAAGACACACAGTATTAGGGAATTTGAAGAGTCCCTGTAGTTGCAGGACTGAGCATTGAGGGTGTCAAGACGTGTATGTCTTTTGTTGCATGCACATATACGTGTGCTCTTACCTGGAGGTGACATGATGTGCCATGACCCTGCACCCACTCACCAGCATTCACGGCCTCATTAGTCTTGTGGCTACTTTTCTGAGTGCCAGGCAGCATCTCCGTTTCCTGTCCCCCGCTCCCTTGCAGACATGACTTAAGCCTGCTAGACAGCCTGTGCCCCACAATCCAAGAGTCTGACGCAGCCCCTGAAGTAATAAGTCACTTCAATTACTAGTGTTCAGTTCCAGAAACTTTGCTGTGTGCTACATGTGCTTGTTTTTATAATTAATACCCATCTGTCTAGACTAACAGTTATAAGGAGTGAGTGACAGTAATGTTATTAGGGGGAAGGCCTCTTCTCTCTCAAATCAGCCAAAAAAAAGACTGTGCTTTCACCTGCCCTTCTCCTCAGAATAGCTTGTTTCCCTTGTTTGTGCCAAAACATGTTTGTTTGCTTTCATGTTGACCTCATTTCCACATGAGCCCTATTAAAGTGGCTCCTGTCCAACATGTCATTTAAGTACCTGGGAGACCAGATGTCAGTTGTTAATTCTGTAGGGAGAATTGAGAGGGGGTGGGGGGAAATAGGTGATTGAAACAACTCCCTGTTAAGGATCTACTGAGTGGGCTGCAGTTCTCACCATGTTAATGCTAATTGCAGTTGACAGGAGGGCTCTGGAGAATTACTGGAGGAGATTGGGGAGAAGTTTTTCAGAGGAGCTGAATGACTCCTTTGTCTTTGTTCAAGGTCAGGAATGCTGGAAGCTGGAGTGGACAGAATTATTTCTCAGGTGGTGGATCCAAAACTAAACCACATCTTCAGGCCCCAGATAGAGAGGGCGATTCATGAATTTTTGGCTGCACAAAAGAAGGAGGAAAGTGTGCCAGCTCCTCCTCCAGAGCCTGAGAATAAGGATCCTCCTGCTCCATCTCAGGATGCCTCCTAAAGGTCTGGTATCTCTGCACTTACTACTTACGTTTTTCATGTACCTCATCTCTATAGTTTGTATAATGCAAGACAGAAAACATTATTTTCTTCCTGGCTTGACAGGGAGGACACTTTGATCATCAGCATGTTGTCAATGTCAGACAGTCATCTGAGCTGCTTCCACTTAAGTGTCTGCTAAAAATATATTAGGACTGAAGACATAGGTATGATGTAAAACAGCTATCAAGGAACACTGTGGACTCTGCCAGTGCTGGTTTTGGGTCAGGCCAAAAGGCCTTTTATTCCTGTAAAAGCATATCCAGCAGTGACTGACATGCAGTTGGCTGGGTAGCTTTCAGAGCAATATCAAATAGATTAAAAATATATATCCTTTACTGAAATACAGCTGAAAGTAGAGTGGTGACAAGTTATTGTGCTTTAACATTGAAAGTTTTAGATAGCTCTTCTTTAGAACATACACTGGAGTGTTGAATTGTTAGTGACTGAAATACTCACTGCTGGTGTAAGGGTAATGTCTCTGGGAGTGAATAACTGTTCATTCCAAATCGACTGGTTTAAATAGAGAAACCTATATCTTTCCAACTGAAAGGACTGAGGGTGCCTTTGTTGCAAACAAGTTCGTTCTGGCTTTTGTGATTAAAATAACTCAAGGGGCCTCAGGGGGCTATAATTGCTACTCTGTCTTAACACAAATGACTATGCACCCATCTCTGCTAAGGCTCTGTATCTTAACGTTGATTTGAATATTGAGGCCTCTGTGCACATTACTGAGGAATCACTATCTTGATGGAAAATTTCAATCTGCAGCTTTGCTGGGGAACTTCAAACCATACTGCATGAAAGGAAGTTAATTGTGAATTGTTCTGTCTGCTGGGGCTTTCTGAAAGCAAAAATTTTCATTATAATCTACAGCTGATTTATTAAGAAGGAATAAGTAACCTACAATAGATGTTCTTATGCTTGGAATTGTTAGATCGATTACCATGACTTTAAATTTAATAGTAGAAGTTAAAGTGCCTGGTAGTATCATCCCGAGTTATTAAGTTATCTGTGACTTGCAGCTTTAATGCCTTGATAGATCTTTGCATTTGTCCTGTTCAAGTAGTTTAAAGCCCATTATAACCTGCAGCTAAGTGCAGCTGTTAATTAATACATTCTAATCTATTCTGTATTCAAATGCATTTACTCATGAAGGTACCATCCTCTAAATTCTCTCTTTTCTTGCAGAGAGTTCCGGATGCTACGCAGCTGCAGTTGCAAAATACGTGTCCTGTTAGATTGGCAATGGATTACTTGTTCCATTTGGTACAGGATTGCTGTCTGCCAAAGATGATTAACCTTTATCAGACCTGTGGGAAGGCACTGAAATCAGTGAAATTCAGATGCACCCAGAGTTCTGTGTGTGGAGGGACAGCCAAAGTGTGAAGATACTTTTGCTATTAACAGCAACACAGAGAGCAGCATGTAGTCTTGTTAGTCATGCCTTCAAGCAAGGACGTGGGAAGAAAAAGGGAGTTGGCTCTTGTCTGGAGGGAGCAGGGATGATACTAGACTTCGGAGCAGGAGAAAAAGAAAGATGCTTTGAGGGGTGGGGTAGTCTCATGGAGACCAAGTAAGAGCTGACAGATTTCCTTTGACATAAGCCAGACAAGAGGCAGCATCATACACCTCTGCTGCATAACACAGCATTGAGTAGTAGGTGTCAAGTCAGGTGTAACTCATTGCACTGCCTGCTTTAGGTAACACACTTCCTGTTTAAAACTGGAAAGAACACTTCAGGATCAGTTATCTAGATAATTTCTGCTGCATCACAGGAAAATGTTTACAGTTTGCTATGACTATAGCTGATTTAATTCTTATTTCCTAGGTAACTCTGGGAAGCAAAAGGCACCAGAGTAGGTGATCAGTTTGAAACTTGTCTCTTTCAACTTGAAAGAATTTTCTTTCCTGTGAAATTTCTCAGGTGCCTAGTGGAAACTGTCCTATGCTTTCAGCTTGAATGCATGCAGTGTCCTCTGGATCACCATCAAGTAGAGAATGTGGTCAAATATTCTGCCAGAAAGTGTCCATAATTTTTTCAATAAAAGACTTTAAAAAGCATCTCTGACTCCTAGCTTTTTCAGAATTCTTCTCTTAAGGAAAAACTACTTTGAAGAAATCTAGGAGTCCTGATTATTGGAACCCTAGTGGAAGTATGACCTCACACAGTTCATAGATTAATGCAGGACTGACAACCGGGGGTTTTTCATAGAAGTTCTCATGAAATAAAATGGCTAGTAGTACTCTTCTCCATTTAAAGTGTCTCTCAAAAAATCTAAAGTATCAAAGAACTGAACTGACCTTACCTTGTATCATTTATGAGGTATAAATACTGAATAAGTTCAGTCTGGTACTAGTGATGGTGAAGGCATGTTCAACCTGGTGAAAACAATGCACTTCTGGCAATAGGCTAGAGCTATTCCATTTTTTTTTTTCCCCTTCAGATAGCAATCTTTTAAGAAGATAACTGCCTATGTCATTGAATAACACTTAATAACGTTTGAATCCTTGCTATTCATTGGCTACATACCACCACTACAGCCTGACCCATGTACCTTGTATGTGAACAGATGCAATTCCAGGTATACTCTGCTCCCTTTTCAAAACAGATAATTTGTAGGGAAGATTGATGCCGTGGTTTAATCTTGCAGCTAACTTATTTTGCTTAGTACTTCCTCTCAACACAGTTGTATGTAGAAATGGAGATGACAGAACATGGTATTTAAACTGGTATTAAACTGGTATTTTAAACTCTTCACAAGAGAGCTCTGTGAACTTTACCACTGCAGTAAGTTTGCACTCTGCACAGTGTACACATGATTCTTCCATCAATATTTTTATCCCATTTAAGCGTTCCTCTCAGAATGGGAACTTAAATACCTGTACTTTTTAGTGATAACTATTGGCTGCAACCTTCTTGGTACGGTTTGAAAAAACTGTATTTTGGGATAATCTGGTTGTGTGGGTTGACTCTCACTGGTATATAGTCTGTGTTCTTGCTAGAAAACAGGACAAGGGGTATGTGAGGAAAGGGCCCTCTCCTACATGTTATGTTCATGTGGGAGTTAAAGACTGCTCTCCAAATCAGTAGTAGGTGTTTTCCCTTAGAGCCCTAAGGGTAGCTCTTGTCAGGAAAAGATCCATCTTTTACCTCCTGGTAGAGTGTCTCAACTGCTTTTTTGAAAGCGAGCCATTTATGCAGGGGTGGAAAAAAAGTTCAAGAGTCTAGAAAGAGAGCAAGTGAAAAGGATTCCAACTGTGCTTAGACAAAGTCTGGATTACAGTAGTTAGGGGAGCAGGGACACCAGTTCAATTTTAAAAAGCAAGTAGAGCTGGATTTATTGCAGTGAAGAGGAATTCTGAACCTGTGTTCCCTACCTCTGACAAGTGCTTTAAACAGCTGTGTGAAGAACAGTTTCTTTAAAAGGTTTCTTCATTGTTCTGTCTTTGAATGTGGTGCTGTGTTAAACACTGAACACTAACGCTGTGCCACTGCTGTGCGTATGCAGGGCTGTGCCTTTAGTTGGTCTCAGCCTACACACAGTGGATGACTGCAATGTCTGTGGGAACTTCCAGATCAGAACTGAGGCACCTAATGAGACTAGGCAGCCAATCCACATTTGGGATCATAGTCTTTGATGTTTGGGCTCTGAAGTCCTTGCTTTGGATCAGCGCTTTAGAAGTAACAAGCTTTGGAAGCATACCTTACATCTAATGGGACAGCGAGGAAAAACCTCTGATGAAGAAACGGTAGGCTGTGCCCTTTGATTATACGCATTTGTCCCTGGCAGCTGATAGAAACAGGATTCCAGCAGTAATAATGATATTATAGAAGTCTTCACACCAGCAAAAGAGAACAAGTTTGTACCTACTGTAGAACCAAAATTGTTCTCTTGTGTAGTAGGATGTCGGACTACAGTTCACATCGCTATGCTGCATATGTTAAATACAGTCTAAAGAGTCTGGTGAGGCAGACAGGTCTAAGACACTTGAGTAATTCAAGAAGCAATGAGATGGCTTTGTGGAGCTGAAGAGGCAGGGCCCTACATTAGGAGGATGAGCTTCAGTGGATTAAATAGGCCTTCTCTTTGATCTCAAACTCCTCATTTACAAGTTTGACTGTCCAGGAAACTGGAACAGTCTTTAGTACCTCAAATCTACTTTTTCAGATAAACACGTTCATGCTTTTAACAAATTTCAAGAGATTGCAGTATTTCTTCATCTGATACACTAATAGTATCAAGGAGCTTTAAAGATTTTCTGCCAGCCTGGCTCAGTGGGTAGGTACTACATTACGAACTAGGAGGTACAAGTTCTCTGCAGAGTCTTTCTAGACTGCACCATGCCAGTAGCTAGTTGTTTTTCCTGTTTGCTAGCCTGTAAAGTGAAGATAACTTCACCCTGCTACATAAGTCCTGCGGTGGTGAGGGAGTCAGGTGCTATAGTTAAGCCCATTACAATGAAAACAGAATGAAAGGAATGCACCCATCAGTATACATACACACCAGTAAATTGTGATATACTGTACAGGTTTTAAGGATTAGACAGTATAGCTGAAGTCCCATGGAAATGTCCCATCTTGGAATCCACATCTTGCTGGCCAGACTAGGGGTTTTAATTGTGCCATTTAGAGTCATGATCTGCTCCAGAATTAGAAGCACACAGATTGAACCATGAACCAATGAACCCAGTTTCACAAGCCCTATGGAGGAAAAAAAGACCTACCCAAACCCACAAACCTATCTAGCAGGACTGCATTGCCATGCATCAGTCAATCATCATGGCACTTATCAATCACTGCCAAGTGGCATATAAGGCAATGCCTGAACTTCTAGCTGTTGCTTGGCTATTATCACACATCCCATATGATTAAAATATGGTAAAGCAATAAAACACCCTGATCTTAAGGTGGGGGTGGGGGGGAAGAAGGGAGAACAGGGTGCCACTGATGATGGCCACCCAAAAAGCCACAAGCAGATGTTAGCACTCTTCCCTCCAGCACTGCCTCAGCTGCTGCACTTTCCTGGGCTGCCTTTGGGGTTGATGGATCACTCTGGTCACTTAAGCCAGAGCACAAGGAAGTGGGTTGTATTAATTAACTTTCACCAGCTGACCATTCTGGCAAAAGCAGGCTTGAGAAATTAGTCCCTACACCAACTGTATGTCCCAGGTTTTTGTAGCTTTCCTGCAGAGCTGAGTGTCCTGGAAGGTTTATGACCTGTGTATCCAAGTCCCAGCAAAACAGAAATGCCGCTGCCCTGCACTCCAGATAACCCAAAACTCCACTGGATACATAATTCTTAAAATGTTCACAGACATTGAACTCTAATGTTCTTTAGTCAGAGATGTATAATCACGTTCTCTTAAGTGAGCCAACTAAATTTGCAGTCTTACTAGAGAAAATAGAGAAGAAGAGGAGGCTTCCTTAGTTGTTCTGGGAGTTCTCATATCATGCAGACATCTCAGTTCAAGTGTTACTTGCAGCACTGCAGAACTTTTCTTACTTGCCCACTATCTATTTTCCCCTTTTCATGTCAAAACCTGAACTGCAGCATTACAACAGTTCTGATGTTTTTTCCTTTGACACTGTCCCAAATGCTGTCATGTTAGAAAAGCTGAGAGCAGAAGTTCATTGCCTTTCCCCCATTATTCCTGAAAACTGTACATGTAATGCATACCAAACACACAAAGCAATCTAGGTGGAATCACAATGACATTATTTTTATGAACATACATATTTTACTCCAAGAGAAACTTAACTCCTGTTCAGTACTTGTAATTAAGTGATGAATAACATGTTTATCACATTCTTGAAGTAAAACTGATTCTTGCTATATATGATCGATAGGCATTTTATGTTTTGGTTTTTTTTTTTCAACTTCTCACACAAGAGTTACATAAAATAAATGGATGCTCCCCCAGACACGAGCTAGGTAGCTGTTCTGTGACAACGACTCCAGAGACACTTCTTTCAATTTAACCTGAAACAGATTACCAACCGAGCAAGATAGTCACTGCAGCTCCTGACCACCTTAACAAGACCACAGTTTCACCTGAGCCTGGATTTTGGACACATGTATTATTCTAGTGCTTTTCCAACTGCAAAGGCTGCTCTTGAGCAGGTCATTTGGTTCAGGGTCAATACCATAGCATTAATTTAGCATCATCAGTTCAAGACACATCTCGCTCTCAGGTGGAGATAGTGCTAAGTGACAAAGAAAAAGTAACTCACTGAGCAAAGACTCAAGTCCAGCCAGTTCTCTGCCCTCATCAGCAATTTTACTGACTAGTAGCTAGTCCGTTGGCAAGTCCGACACT